ATAAAGAAGCTGTGGTACATATATACAATGGAATATTACTCAGCCATAAGAAGAGATGAGATACTGCCATTTGCTACAACATGGATGGACCTCGAGATAATCAAGCTAAGCGAAATAAGCCAGACAGAAAATGTTTAAAACCATATGATATCACTTATATGTGGGATATAAACCCAAAAGCAACAAACAAACAGGACAAAGAAACAGAGACTCGTGAACATGGACAACAGACTAGAGGTTACTAGAGGATGGGGGAGAGTGAAGAAGGAGTAGGTAGATGGGGTAAAAGGGGTGAAATATGTGGTGACAGAAATCTAACTATGAGCGATTAACCCATAATGCAATATATATATATGCCTTACTGTTGAATTTTACACCTGAAACTTACTGGATTTTCTTAACCAATGTCACCATAATAAAAATAAAATAGAATGAAATGATTAAAAAATGTAAAAAAAACCCTGTAATTTTTTCGCCACTTGCTTATTGTGGTAAAATGCATATAACATAAATTTACCATCTTAATAGTTTATTTTATTTATTATTTTTAAGCATCTTAACTATTTTTATGTAGTATAATTTCTTTTTAAAATCTTGTATTGTTGAAGAATAAAAACTCTTTAGTTTTAGAACTGGATTTATGTCTACCACCTTATTAATTGTATGACTTTGGATAATTCACTCAATCTCTTAGAACTAAATTCTGATCTTTTAAAAAACAATGCTACTTTGAAACCATAAAACTCTTAGAGTAAAACACAGGGATGAGCTCTTGACATTGGTCTTGGCAATGATTTTTTTTTTTTGACATCAATAGCAGAGGCAAGAAAAGCGAAAATAGATAAAGAACAATGTCAGCTAAAAAGCTTCTGTACAGTAAAGGAAATCATCAAAAAGAATGAAAAGGCAACCTCTATTTGTGGAGAAAATATTTGCATATCATACATCTGATTTGCAAATATTTTAATATCCAAAATATATAAAGAACTTATACAACTGAACTAAACAGAAAAGAAACTATACGATCAAATTTAAAAATGGGTAGTAGTTCTGAAAGACTAATCAAGAAAACCTGACTGCCCACTTCTCTTACTTCCCTGCCCTGTCTTCTCTCTCTGATCTTTGACAAAATGCTTCTGTGCTGCTCTCAGGGCTGAGGACTCTGGGTGCCCCACAATCACCCCCCAAAACGTCTATATGTCACCACGCCCAAGCCGCTGTACCATCACATCTCTCGAAGAATGTGGTGATGATCCTTCCAGATGAAGAACTGAATCCCTGAGCGCAGTGACAGGCGCTGTCATTGACACATGTAGAGTGCGGGGGGCACCACCAAGCACAGTCTTCTGGGGAAGAGGCTATGGGGATGGACATTTAGAAAGGATGAGACACTTTCTCTTATCTCCAGAAGACCATCTCTGGGCCTCACTTGCAGAATACACCTCCTTTCTCCCCTTGTTGGTGAGTGGGCCCAGACCCCAGCATGCACTCCCCATCTTATGTCACTAATGGGGCTGGCTGGGCAGACTCACCTTTAAGGTTTTCCTCTGCAGCAATCAATGTCAACATCAGCTGCAAAAAGAGTCCTGGGGCAGAAAGACACATAGATGATAAAGATAGGAAAACAACACTCCAATTTCAATTCCTGTCCACGTGGTCATTGCTATCTGGGGTGGTAGCTCTGGCCCTGCAGCCCACAGCTTTCTGGTGACTTCCTTGAGGTTTCTGTACTTTACTTGGAATCAAGGACTCAGTCTTTCCCCTCCGTTTCCCGAGAATCCCCAAGGAGGTAGTCACTGACAGCCACAGCCCTCTTGGAACTTCAGGTGCTACAATATACATAGAATATACACAGAGCAGTTTCTTAGAAACTCCAGAATCTCCCAGTGTAGAAGGTAAATCTTGGGGGAGAAAGTCCTCAGATTCGTGTGCCTTTCCCCATGCCCAATTTCTTTGTTTTCTGGCAATGGCAGATATCTACTTTGCAAAGGCTCCACTGTCTTCACCCTAGTAAGTGGATGCCATTTCTTATTCACACGGAGGCATCCTAAAGGTGAATGTAGTGGCCTAGATGCTCTGTTGTCTAGATGTGGATGGAAGTGGCCTGAGTTCTCCTGTCTTTCAACCCTGGTATCCTTGCTTCCTTGAGAAGCTCTCATGTAAGGTGGGGACATCATGGCCACTTGTGTCCCAGCCTGAGTATTTGGACAAAAGCCAGGGTGGGTTTACCTGGGAACCAAGTACAGGGGAAATTCTAAGTTCCCTCAGTGATACCCATCGTGGCTCCCAGCGATGGCCTTTATCCTGCCTCCTTCAGGGCAGGTGCTCTTTGCCTGAATTCTTGGATTCCTGGTGACACTGGTGGGACAATGCTCTTGCATCCATGCTAACTCTGAGACCCAAGCTTCAAGACCCATCTCTGAATCTGGCTCCTTCAGGGGCTTGCAGAAAGGGATGAGGAGAATGAAGATGATGCCAGACAAACCAGGACCACCTTGACAATGGGTGCCATGCCATGGTGTTCAGCCACAAAGCCTTGGGGTAGAGAAGATGCCTCTTCTGATCCCACAAAGGCATCCCCTGGATTGACAGGAAGTGGCAAGAATCTACTTCAGAGCAAAGCTAGTAGTGGATGAGGGCTGGGTGGTTGAAGAGGGGAGCAAATGCTGATGGGCAGGGTGGCAGGGATTTCTCTCATCTGGCTCCTTTGTCTCCCACTAGGGATGCAGACTTTTGGGCTCACTGATGGGGTCTTAGGCTCTATCATCTGTTCCCCAGTGGTCTTGGCCCCAACAGAGTCTGGATTGACCTTTCTTGGAGAGAGTCAGGCCTGGAGCAATGGTCCCCAATTATGTCTTCTTGCTCGTTTTCCTTCAGATAGAAGCTTCTTCTATTCATCCAAATTTCTGAGTGTGTGTGGGGTGGTTCATGTCACTCTGCTCACGCCCAACACAACATCTTCTCAGGTCTTAATTATCTGAATTTCCCACAGCCCATGAACTGAAATTGTTGAGCTCGATCAGGATGGAGCCTTGCTTGGGGAAACAGCAGTTAAGGAGATGGATCAGGATGCAAGGAAGGGTCTTCGCCAGGTATGGTTGTTGGCCAGGGTCAGGGCCAGCTGAGGAACATGGGACCATCCTCTGCTCTTTCCACTCCCACATTTCTAGACAGGATTCTTGGGTCCATCAAGGCCTGAAGGATCTGGGGGTGCTCCTGGGGTGGCCAATCCTGTGTGGATTCTAGTGAAGGAAGGTCTTACCCTGGCGGTCACTAATGAAGAAAAGAATGGTTATTGCTCTGGAAAGCAATACTCTTCACCCTTGAAGTATCTTAAATGCCACCTCTCACTTTGTTTTATGAAAATAAGATGCGAGGTGGCAAGAGGATGTTCCAAAATTGCATAAGTAATACTTAGAGGGACATTCAGAATCTTGGCGTTTTAGAGGGTGGGTGACCAAGTAGGTGCCCAGGCCAGTGCTCTGTTGCCTGGAAAAAGGGGTGAGAATCCTAAATCTAATAAATGAGGAGATGGAAGAGACAGGGTCCTTCTTACCATCACATGTTTTGCTAACATTAGTGCTGAACATTGATCTGTAGTTTGGGCTGCAACTGCAGTAGCTCTCCATGAAGTCCTGGCAGTCTAAATATATTCCACAGGACATTGTTGAGCTTGGTTCACACTCGATGTCTGGAACACAACAGGACAAAATGTTACCTCTCAAAGGGCAGAGACTCCAAATGCAGTTCAGGATGGCAGTCCTGGGGCTGGGCTGGCCTAGAGCCAGATGCTCAAGGAAGTCTGCTAACTGCTCTGCTCATCTCTGCTCTCTGGCTGGGCTTGAGGGTACCTAGATTCAGATACACTGCTCTGTCATGATGGCGATGGAGGGAGGTCTACATTCAATTTTCTATGCCTCGAGGGGTAGACGGAAGCTCTGACTCAGCTACAGACTCTTCTCTGTGGTGCTGTTTGCATCATCGAAAACCTGGGATTGGGCTCAGTTAGGACAATAATGGATTTGAAGGCCACCTTCTATGCTGAGGTAGTGGGGGAGATTCATGGCTGGAGGCTGTCCAGGGTGACATCATCATTCACACCGTGGATAGAGCCAGGTGGTCAGGCCCCTGCCCATTGATGGCTTCCACTTTCCATTACTCACAGTGGCCCAAGGACACCCTACACTCCTCATCAGGCACTCCTCCAGCTCCCAGTGTCAGTCCATTTTCAGATGCCCCAGGATGTTTCTGGGAGAGTCTTCCTATCTCCACTCCCTGGGTAAATTCCTTCCCACCCCATTAGAAGCAGGAGGGGATGTGAAATGAGAAGCAGCATGAATCTTCTCACAGCTGAATCACCAAGGGTGATTTCTGACATCTTATCTCTTCCTGTTTCTAAACATGAAAGAAAAGTGCCCATAAGCCATATCCCCTTTGAGTAGCTCAGGGATACAAGGAGCAGAAGCTGGACACAGTTGGCTAAAAACAAGTTTAATAAGAACTAGCAACAGAAGAATGAATCAGAATTTAGGGACAGAATATTTGACCCTGCACACAGGGGACCAAAGGCTTTAGAGCCCGAAAGGACTCATGGAATCATAATGAGTCAAGGCAGGCAACTGGTCTTTTCCAGATAAGAGTTTCCTCTCTAAACTCATGAATTTTCCTTCTAAGGCCCAGGTTGTGCAGTTAGCACCAGAACATGAGAGGGAATGAGAGGGACATACATCTGTGGCATTCATGTTCAGCCCTAGCCTGGGCAATGCATCTTTCTTTCCTTGTTTTCAGATGACGACAATGGCTAGAGACCTGTTTTCAAGCTGGTTGGATGAAATGGAGTTGAGTTGAGTAGAAGTGGGAATAAGGTGTGTAGGATAGGAGTACGTGATGATGGGAAATTCCTCAATCTGACAAGTGTGCTCTCATTAAGGAGCTGGGACCCAGGTACAATAGCAGCAGGATCTCCATCCATATCCACCTAGTCTACAAATCTGCATGAGACACACATGCAAACACACAAAGAACTTTTTAGGAATAACTCCAGGGTCATAGATGGGCTAGGCAGTAGTCCCAACGACATCTTTTTTTTTCCTGATAAAATTTACTTTTTGAGAAATATTAAACAACACACAGACACTTATAAAACAAAGAAAAATGTAAATAATAAAAAAGAATCTTGAGATTATTATGTTAAGTGAAATAAGTCAGACACGAAAGTTGAGAGCTATACGATTTTATTCATATGTGAAATATAAAACTGAAAACAACAAATGAACAAGACAAACAAACAAAAATTCATAGACAGAGACAGCAGTTTATTGGTTACTAGAGGGAAAGCGGGGAGGAAGAAGGTAAATAAGAGTAAAGGGGGTCAAATATATAGTGACAGAAGATTTGACCTTGGGGGGTGAACACACAATGCAATATATAGTTGATATAGTATTGAATTGTACACTTGAAGTTTGTATAATTTTATTAACCAATGTCACTTGTAATAAGAAAAGATGTAGACCTGAAGCTAGTATAATGTTACATGTCAATAATAACACAATAAAAAATAAAAATTAAAAAAAAAAAAAAAGAAAATCACCCATAAGTCCATCCACTACACAGACTACTAGAAAATTTTAGGGATATATTTTTTCACCTTTTCAAATATATTAGAAGTAGTTTCATTTAGTACCAACAAATTTCATCTAAGAGTATTTTGAATAGATAAAGACTATTTCTTATTTAAAAACAACATCATTTCATTTTCCCTTATTTTTTTATGATGGTTAAATGCACATAACCAAATTTTCAATTTGAACTGTTTTTAATATTATAATTTCCCTTTATAATTCTCTTTTTTGAAGAATAAAAACCCCTTAGTTTTACACCTGGTTCTCATTCTACCATCTTAGTTGTACAACTTTGGAAAAGTCACTCAATCTCCTTTAGCTTTTTTTTTTTTTTTTTTGTCTGGGAAGCTCTTTATCTGTCCTTTGACTCTAAATGATGGCTTTACTGGATAAAGTAGATTCTGGGTTTTCATCACTCTGAATATTTTGTGCCAAGCCCTTCTGTTCTGCAAAGTTTCTTTTGAGAAATCAGTTGCCAGTCTTATGGGTGCTCCCTTGTAGGTAACTAACTGCTTTCCTCTTGCTGCTTTTAAGATTCTCTCTTTGTATTTAACCTTTGGAATTTTAATTATGGTGTGTCCTGGTGTGGGCCTCTTTGGGTTTATCTTATTTGGGACTCTGAGCTTCCTGGGATTGTATGTCTATTTCCTTCACCAGGTTAAGGAAGTTTTCCACCATTATTTCTTTAAATAGGTTTTCAACTTCTTGTTCTTACTCTTTTCCTTCAGGTACCCCAATGACATAGATGTTGTTACATTTAATTTTGTACTTCATCACCACCAAATCACTTTTACAGAAAATGTTGGAGGGACTACTTTAAGAAGAAAAATCATGTATCAAAAACATGAATAAAGAATGGTAATAACTACATATCTATCAACAAGTACCTCAAATAGAAAAGAATTAAGCATTCCAACCAAAAGATAGAGTGGTTGAATGGATATGAAAACTAGACCACTGAGTTGA